CCGGTTATATGCTATCATAAGCTATAATTATTTCATACTTATACATATAGCTTGATTTAATAATTTAGGTAATACAAAACTTTTCATCATACCGGGCCATCCTTGGGCCGGACCACTCAGTCCAGAACATTACTGGGCCGTTGATCCACTTTCAGAACTACCTGTCAGGCCCAAAGCTCTATTCAACCGCCTCCAGGCCCAATCTCTTGAGCGTTGCAGACGGGACGTCCATTCACTATGGCCCAAAGGGAAGACCCACTGAAGATCGGCCCAGGTTTGAGAGTTTTGGGAGAGGTTTTAGGACAAATGTACACTTCTCTAAGAGAGATGGAAAGGGGGAGATTTGTGTGAAGTGTAATAGATTTCTTTCCTAATACAAAAGAGCAATTTCTTGATCAAATGCATTTTACGTTTTCTTTTAGTGCAACATATTTATAATTCTTGTTTCTTGGATTTTTTAGTAACTGATGTTACGCTCTCATAGTTGTTGGCTGTAACTTCAACCAACTATGGAGTTTATTTTATTTTTCTTTTCTTTTCTTTTTTACTTAATAAAAATTCTTAGTTTCTGTTGCTAGAACAAACATACACACATATTAGTTTTGACAAATTTATAGGTACTGCTATTCTATATATTGATATGTATATAATCTTAAATTGTGGACATGTGTTTTGACTACGGATGCTAAAAATCCCCACCTCGACCCCGCCCTGCCCTATTTGGGACGATTTTGAGGAATCAATCATGCAAATGGGGATGGCGATGGGGGATGATTTGGAAATCCAATGGGTTTTGAGGTAGTTTCGGGGGGTTTTGGGAAAGGGTTTCCCGCCCCGAATATATTATAAATTTATTAAATTATTTTACATATTATGATATATTACTAAAATAAGTTAAATATATACATATACATAAGAGGAAACCCTAGTCCTCATTTCATTTCATGTCTTAAGTCTTGTGAAAAAAAGAGAGCCGCGAGCCGGGATGGCAAAAATCCCCACCATGTTGGCTCAGTTGAACTGATCTTAAGGGTTGACTGCCTACATAACGAGTTGCTCGCTTACCAAGCCGCCTCACTTTATTTATATTGGGATGGGGATTTCTTTGCAAAACTAGACGGATTTTGGGATGGTTATGAGGGTGAAAAAATTAAACAAGAATGAGAATGGGGAATGAGATCCCTGCCTCAAACCCATCCCTGGATTTGACAACCATCATGACTACTATAAACTGTCAGATTTTTATTTTTTAGTACAATTATTTTTTTTTTTTTTGGTTATATATCTTCATTGCCGTATAGGAGTAAGAGTAATAATAGTGCAATGTCTCATGGAATAATATTTTAACTCGATCTCTCTCACAATTTGCAAAAATTTAAGCCGGATGGGGTCATTATGTATCTGATAAACTGTATATATTTTTGACAGGTGAAAGTGTAGGGATGTCTGTCTATGGGTTCATGCTTTCTATGAAGGACAGAAAGCATGATACCAGGCTTACCAGCAGCAGTTTGGTGGGATTATGGTATTTGGCAATGCTATTGTAACCGGGACCTCATGTATAAACTTGTTCATCAAAATGTGGTAACAGCCGATGTGTTTAAGTAGACGATGGCCGCAACAGCTTCCTCCTCCTCTAAGGTCGCAGCATGAAAACTCCTCGAGCCATTCAGTTGGTTCGATAGCCTTCTCGGGAAGCTTGGCGGTACTTCCATGGCAGGAACAGAGTGCTTGCTCGAGTGAGTTGGGCTACGCTCTATTAATTGGTTGATGGTGTCGAGGCCTATTGGTCGTATTTCAGATTGTGAGAGAGAAGCAAGACACTAAACGAGGAGATGATGCTTTTACAAGAGAAATGATGCCTGAACCAGTGAATCTAAAGATCCCTTTGTTGGGACTTTGTATGTTTTTGAAAGTTGATTTTTAGTGCCTAAATTTTGTATGATCAACATATCCTAAATTTTAGGGCAACAACTTTGCAATGCAACCCTTGATTTCAGTTTCACACGTCAAAGAACATTTATTATCATTCAAACTAATACATTAAACTGATGTTAGTACCAAAAAATACAAAAAAAAAAAAAAAAAAAAAAACAATACATATTACTATGTGTAATTGTTCTCCCAGAAGCACATAATTTAGGAGTGTTTTATTGGTCTACTTTGTGGACTTTCAGAGTTCATCCTTCAAAGAGGCTCTTTTAGGGTTGTCTGAGGACGACTTGATGGGTAGGAGGCCTCCATAGCTATACCACATATTCCCTCTTCTGCGTCGATCCCGCGCTGCATTCTTATGTAACCTTGTTCTCCCCATTCTGGTCCCCATGAGTTCTTCACTATCCAATACTTCGTCCCATCAAGAGTTGTTCCATACCCTACAATCGCAACCCCGTGGTCCAACTCTTTGCCACAGTCCCCAGTGTACACTCCCTGCATTTTCACGATCCATTTCAAGCATATTTAAGTTTGTTTCTTCTTAAATATATATATATATATATATGTATTGAAATAATAGTGTAAATATGATGTTAGTAAGGGTGTATCTTCTCAGCTGTTATACCACCATTTTGCTTAATGAACTCGTACGCGTTTTCCATTAGCTAGGGTTAGTAATCTTTATCTCCTCCTCTCTCTCACTCTCTCTATGTAGTCGTTGTTCACTCTCATCTCTCCATTCCCATGACTCTTCACTGTTTTTGTTTTTTTTTTTGTGGATTATTACATATAAATTGTACTAATAATTTATATTTACTGTTTAATGAAGTCTGAGTCTAATAGTTTCAAAAAAAAAAAAAATAACCAAAATCTTTTTTTATACCTTTAATTCTTATACAAATTCCGCATATTTTCACATTTAGGATTTACATATACAACATGTAACGCTATCATTCTCTGAAAAAAAAAAAAGTTATTTCTTATTGTTTAGGTATTTCGATTCAAAAAAAAGTCAAAAAAAAAAAAAATAAGAAAAAGAATTGAGTTGCGCGTGAACATAAAAAAACACTATTAACCTCACTGAGGTATCACTTTTTATACATCAAATGCTACTTTTATTTTGAACATAAAAATATCACTTTTATAACATAAATATCACTTTTTTGTACATAATACCATTCTTTAAACTGTTTATGAATGCAATGGGCTTCATTATAATATCAGAACATATGGTCCAATAATGAGAAACGATAGGCACTTCCTCATTAAAAAGGTTGGCTTCATGTGAGTTTCGGGTTGCTTAGTCAATGTAAAGTTGTTGGGTGATATGTTGCTTGATGGGCACTTACACGTGGGCCGTGGCCTAGGCTAAGGCACACTATTTATCAATCTAATTAAAAGGTTCGTTTAGTACACGAATAACGAGGCTTTTATTATTGTAAGCCTTGATATAGTCATGGGTATGTAATATTACCGATTATTTCTAGTTTCGAAATATTTCTAAGGTCACAAGGAAATAATCTTTTCATTGTGCTAAGACCCATTCTCTAAAGTCACCAATCTAATTAACTTTGTTTTAAACATTGCTTTGGAGGTTGTTGCTAGCATGGACTATACATGTTTTTTACTTTTTTGAATTTTTTTTTTTTTTTTTTGGAAAGTTAAAGCAATTACACTTATATCCTACCTTCTGAGATTCAAACTCCCGACCACTCATTTAAAAAGAAAAGAGTGATACCATTGAGCCAATTCATCATTTGGTTACTTTTTTGAACCTTACCAAGTGAAATCATATGCCAACTCAATATGTCACTGAAATTATTTTTGTTAACAAAAAAAAATAATAATAATAATAATAGAGAATAAAATAATGAAGGATCACTTGTGTTTTACTTCAATTAATGTTCCCACCTACACTGAGTCACTCAATTGCAACCAAAAAGCAAAACCCTTTATTGAGATCAAAATCTACAAACTATCCATCAAACGGCTTATATTGATTGCTATCTTTTTTATACCATTTCAATCGAGTACTCTCTCTCACACACAGAAAAGTCACAGAAGACGACTGACTCACATTATGAATGCACCAGAGAGCAGCTGTAAATTATCAGATGCTTGTTATACTTACACTTTAAAGGACAATACTGGTTTTATAAAGCAGACTAGCTGTCAAGTGTATATATACAATCAAAGATTTGAAACCATTTTTGAGATCAACAACATCAACAAACTAATATTATTGCATGCATCACACGGACATTTCTTATATAATATTTTTTATACTTCTTTTCTAAAAAGTGTCATATTTGGATAACGCGAACCTGCAATTCCGAAACATTACACTTTTTATGAGAAAAAAAATGTGTCAACCGGTCAATAGTGACCATTTTAAACATTACACTTTTTATGAGAAAGAAAATGTGTCAACCGGTCAATAGTGACCATTTTACTAATAGGTGCAAAGGAATTTGGGAGTCTCTTTAAATACACATCATGGTCTTTGTTTCTCTCCATTCTAATTTCCTAGAGAGAGAAATTTCAGAGAGGAAAGGTTTAGAGAGAGAATGTGGCTACCCTTAGTTGACATCAACAGGGTTCCGATGGCAAGAGTAAGCTCTTGTTTGCCCTATCAATTCACTTAGATCTGTTATCTGTATACACAAACACTGTTATGTTTGTGGCACTGTTATTGTTTATGCTACTGATCAGTTAGTATATTTATATGAGAGATTGATATTCTTGTTTTACGCCATCATAAGCTATAATTATTTCATACTTATAAAAATATATTAATATCTAGCTTGATTTAATAATTTAAGCTCAGCTAAAAACAAAATTATTAGTAGTATTAATCCATTTCAAAATTAAGTCCACCCAATCAAGCCCAAGTTAACTTAACCACCATACTAAAATTAAATCTAAGCCAAATAAGCCCAGGGCTGGCCCAAACCCAAATGCAACAAAGGCGCCTAGGGCCTCAAAATTTATGAGCCCATGGATGATGGACCACCAATATATATATATATATATATATATATATTTAGGGCAAATCATTTCATTCTCCCCAATCGCCTCCATCTCCATTCTCGTTCTCACTGAACTTGCCCCCCTCTCTCTCTGCAACTGCCAAGTGCAAAATCTACAAGAATCAGAAATTCAAAACCCATATATTTCAGTTTATCTATCTGTCTACAAGAATCAAAAGTTCAAAACCTATTACCTATATCAAAACCCATATCGACATATCATTTCAGATTGTTCAAAAAATCAAAACCCATATCGTTCAGTTTCCATCGCCTGCTGTTCCAGATCGGGTTCGCCGTTCGCAAGCTTCAGCCGCCGGCCCGCTGTCTCTTAACTCTCAAGCTTGCCCCCTTCTCTCTCTGCAACTGCTAACTTGTATGTATGGGTTTTGTTTTAAATTTTTTTCTAAATCAACTAATCAAGTCTGTAATTCTTGTTTTGCAAACTAAATCCTATTTGGTGAAATTTTTTATGATTTTTTTATATAATTTTTTTTTTTACAAGTAACAAAATTTGCATTGCATTTTGAGATAATCATTGCATTGCATTTTGAGGTAATCAATGTAATCTACATTTTATTTCAGCAAAACAATTATTATTATTTTTTTATTTCTATAACTTCTATTTCTTTTTCTTTTCTTTTCTTTTTTTCTTTTTTTTTTTTTTTTTTTTTTTTTTTGTCAATTATGTCTACAAGAAAATTTGAATCTGGGCATAAAAAAAAAAATTAAAAAAAAAAATCTGAATTGGATTAGAAATCTGCAGAGATTGAATCTGAAACAATTTTTATCAACATGCCAAGCTTTTTGAAGATGGAAATCTTTTCAGAACTAAAAAAAAAAAAAATCACAACAAGGACTTTGACAAACAAAAGTAGTTAATGTAGGGTAAAGCTCTAACGTTACTTCTTGAAAATAAAAATACTTGCAAAAGTCATGCTTTTGAGTGAATTGCATAGTGTTGGAAGGGGCTTGCCATGAACTACCTCACACTCTGCTTCCACTAGTAGATTCTCAAATAAGATTAGTAAATTGGTCAAAAGAAGAGATAGGGTACTGAGTGGTGAATTGTTCAGAAATAAATTGGTAATTTTTTTATATTAACTACCCAAATAGGATTTTCTATGCCTTAATTAGTCAATTGTAACATTGTTAGTTAACTAAGATTGAATTAAACAACAGTTGATTTTGGTTGATATATTTTGATTTAGCTCACCCCATTGAGAAATCCTGGATCCGCCCTTGATAATACTAATGATGTTTTGTTTCACGTAGACATACAATCTGTGTAATGCACGAAGGATATATTCAATCTTTTTGCCATATTTTTATTTTCAAATTTTGGTTTTTGATTTTCTTTTGTTATTGGAATGCGGAATATCAGGATATTGATTTGTTAATTTTGAAGATTATTCCTAAACTGATGCATTTTACTTTGTTATTGGATTAATTTAACATAAGAGCTGAGTATAATATGTGCTAATCATAGCTATCCGTAATCACACCGAACTGAGTATAATATGTGCTAATCACACCTATCCGTAATCACACCTCTTTCTACGGATAGGTGTCCAACGTTTTGATTGAAAGCGTAGTTGGGTTGGGTTGATACATGATACACATAGTACTTAGATGGTGGTGTTTTAATTGTTATGAGCATAGTTGGGTTGGGTTGATACATGATGCAGATAGTACTTGGATAGTATTTTAATTGTTATGAGTGAGATTGTGAAACTTCTTCCTCACAACTTGGGTGTTTTCTTATTTTTAGGGTTGGTATCGGGCCTTAACATTTATCAAGAACAAGGTTCAAGAAACATGCCTCCTCAGTCATCAGGTAACAAACTCTTACTTTTTCTAAAATTTTAATTGGCATTTTTAGCTATTGGTTACGTTTATTTGTTCATATTTTACATACTGATTTTTTGTTTTTGTTTTTGTTTTTGTTTCTACATGCATATATATAATATTGTTATGATGTGATACTCGAATAATTTATTAATGGGAATTAAAGACTTGGAAGTTTAGTTTTCAATTTCAGAATATATGTTTTTCAAGTTTATTAACGCTTTTAAAACTTTTCCGCTTTTGTCCTAATAATATAGGTCTCTTTTTTAAAAGAAGAGAGTTCATGGGAATGGGTGGAGTTGGCAAAAAGAAATAGGTATGTTTTTTTTTTGCCTAGCTAATTGAATTATATAAATCCCCTTACCGTCGTTGACATTGATAGAATAGTTTAGAATAGACCCATGAGTAATGCTGAAGACATGATTAAGTTGTTATTTTGCTTAATTTTTTGTTTGGCTGGATTCTCCATTTACATACCCATGATTTCTTTGATGTGTAAAATCACCCACTGATATTGTTTTCTTTGTCATGGTCTGCAAGGTACTTCATATCTTACTTGATAGGAGTACCACGCTGGAGAGGAGACAAAGGAGACAAAGAGCAGCAAGAGACCAAGAGCAAGAAGGAAGAAGAAGGTTGAATGTAGATTGTAATGATTGAAAAACATTTTTTGCTTATAATCCCTTTCCCCTTTGCCTCTAAAATTGAGTAGATTAGATGCAGGTTATTACTCTTTTTAACTTATTAGGTTTTTAACTCAGTATTGTTGATCACCTACTGAAAAATCTAATTTATAAGTGACACGAGGTTTTTTATCCTCCACATGATTGAAGGTGGCAAAATGTTTTTTTTTTTTTTTTTTTCTTTTTAACTTATTAGGCTTTTGACTCGGTGTATATATATTATCCTCCACATGATTGAAGGTGGCTATTATTTATATAAGTTCTTTCAAATTCTTATTGCCTTTTTAATTTTGTTACTAAATAATTGCACTAAAGATGTTTGAAGTGTTTTATTATAAAGCAATTAGCAAATTATGGAGACTTATGTGGATCATTTTAGGTTTTCGGCGAGGATGAAAACAATGCGGTTGTGGTAAAATCACCGATTGGTTCAACTAGAGAGATTTTTTCAAGGTAAAAAATCCACTTTTCTATCTCATTTCATTGTCACAAGGGTTGTCCACGATCCCTTCTCTCTCACACACTCGTAAAGTCATCAAGATTCAATAATTATATACTGACATTTCTTGTCATGATTACTTTGTTATAATTGCTCATTGCCAGGATTCGAGACGAACCTTTGAATATCATCAAAAGGCCTAAAGTTTTCGTTCATAGCCTCAATCATGGACAAGTTCCACTCAATTTGAGTCCATTTGAGGTTGTGGGACATTCTAGTGAAACTGGTTGGGGTCTATTAATTTCGCAGTTTTGTGTTCTCCTGGTCAAACAATTGACCTTCCTGATTTGCCTCACGATCTGCCTCCCGTTGAAGGTGAGAATACTATCACGCTAGGTTGTTTTATTATGAATGAGAACAATACTAGCATTTTAATTGTTCGAAGATACACGATTTCATGTTTTTCGACATAGAACAAATTTGGGAGAAGAATTTTGGCAACTTGATATTGTTCTTTAACATAGTGTACCTCAAGGGTTTCATCATTCAGAGCTTTATGTTGTTTGGGCGGACACAACTAACAATCACATAATTGTCATCCAAAATTGGCAAGATCATGCAAATTTTGCCATAGACTTTAATTTTTTTAATGAATTAGTGGGCACTAACATGGTGAGTGCAATCGATTTTGATATGCATCTAGTGCTCCTTCAGGGAACTGACTTTATTATCTATAACTTGTTTGTGTGGGAGGATCTCGAAGGGGTATTAGACATTGGATTGGTGGGTTTAGACGATTGGTACACTGATGGGTTCAATTATTACATTACAAGGAGTTTGTGTGGCATAAGGATACAGATTGACATGGGCGACGGGGAAAGAAATAGGATTTATGCACGGTTTCATTGAAAGTATTGTTAGGTTTCGCTGTGTTTGAATTATCTTCCTCCAATTCGCTTCTATATATAGTCGTGTTTGGTGTCGAATCGAGTCACCGGCAGAGAAAGTGTGTGGATGTTTGCACGACGACCGCTTCGGAACTGTTCTACAATCAGAGGTCTCGTTTGAGCTGAAACACCATTGAATTAGGGCTCAATTCTTCTCTCGATCGAAGTATTCATCACAATCAAAGCAATCGTCGCAATCATCTCCACAACACCACCACCACCACCACCACCACAAACAACAACACAGCAGCAGCTATCAAGATCGTCACGATCCGGACGGATGTGATCCTCTCCGTCGATCTGTCCATATCAGGCTTCCATCTCATCGCCCTTCTCATCCGGTAAAAAGCACTTTTGATTTCTCATGGTTTCTTTTGCTTTAACAAAATATAATCCGCACAAATTATTTTCCCCGAGTTTCTGTGATTATATTATGTTTTTATTTGTAAATTCTCAAATGGACTCGTATATATCATGAGGTTGAATCTGGGACTGAAACATTGAGTTTGAATTAACATGGACTTTATTGAAAGAATGCAGTTTGCAGCTTGAGACTATTTGGAATAATAGATTCTTACTTATTAATGATAATTATATTTTGGAATGGGAACTTTATTGAAAGAATACGAGGACAAGCCTCAAATTTCCAGATTTTTTACATTATATTTCAGCAAAACAATTTTTATTTTTATTTCTATAACTTCTATTTCTTTTCCTTTTTTTTTCCTTTTTTTTTTTGGGTCAATTATGTCTACAAGAAAATTTGAATCTGGGAATGAAAAAAAAAAAAAAATCTGAATTGGATTAGAAATCTGCAAAGATTGAATCTGAAACAATTTTTATCAACATGCCAAGCTTTTTGAAGATGAATTGGTTTTTGATTTTCTTTTGTTATTGGAATGCAGAATATCAGGATATTGATTTGTTAATTTTGAAGATTATTCCTAAACTGATTCATTTTACTTTATTATTGGATTAATTTAACATAAGAGCTGAGTATAATATGTGTTAATCACATCTATCCGTAATCACACCTCTTTCTACGGATAGGTGTCCAACGTTTTGACTGAAAGCATAGTTGGGTTGGGTTGATACATGATACACATAGTATTTAGATGGTGGTGTTTTAATTGTTATGAGCATAGTTGGGTTGGATTGATACATGATACAGATAGTACTTCGATGGTATTTTAATTGTTATGAGTGAGTTGTGAAACCTCTTCCTCACAACTTGGGTGTTTTCTTATTTTTAGGGTTAGCATCGGGCCTTAACATTTAGCAAGAACACTTATCAAAAAAATCAAAAAAACATTTAGCAAGAACAAGGTTCAAGAAACATGCCTCCTCAGTCATCAGGTAACAAACTTTTTTTTTTTCTAAAATTTTAATTGACATTTTTATCTATTGGTTACGTTTATTTATTCATATTTTACATATTGATTTTTTGTTTTTGTTTTTGTTTCTACATACATATATATAATATTGTTATGATGTGATACTCGAACAATTTATTAATGGGAATTAAAGACTTGGAAGTTTAGTTTTCAATTTCAGAATATATGTTTTTCAAATTTATTAACGCTTTAAAAACTTTTCCTCTTTTGTCCTAATAATATAGGTCTCTTTTTTGAAAGAAGAGAGTTGATGGGAATGGGTGGAGTTGGCAAAAAGAAATAGGTATGTTTTTTTTTTTGCCTAGTAATTAAATTTTATAAATCCCCTTACGTCGTTGACATTGATAGAATAGTTTAGAATAGACCCATGAGTAATGCTGAAGACACGATTAAGTTGTTCTTTTGTTTAATTTTTTGTTTGGCTGGATTCTCCATTTACATACCCATGATTTCTTTGATGTGTAAAATCACCCACTGATATTGTTTTCTTTGTCATGGTCTGCAAGGTACTTGATATCTTACCTGATATGAGTACCACGCTGGAGAGGAGACAAAGGAGACAGAGCAGCAAGGAGAGACCAAGAGCAAGAAGGAAGAAGAAGGTTGAATGAAGATTAAAAACATTTTTTTGCTTATAATCCCTTTCCCCTCTGCCCTCAAAAATTGAGTAGATTAGATGCAGGTTATTACTCTTTTTAACTTTTTTTTAACTCAGTATTGTTGATCACCTACTGAAAAATCTAATTTATAAGTGACATGAGATTTTTTATCCTCCACATGATTGAAGGTGGCAAAATATTTGGCTTTTAACTCAGTGTTGTTGATCACCTACTGGAAAATCTAATTTACAAGTGACATGAGGTTTTTTATCCTCCGGTGGCAAAATGTTTTAAAATTTTTTTTTTTTTCTTTCTTCTTAAGTATACATGTGTTGCTATGTTGACTCCGCGTAGTAGTTATAATATTGCTATGGACAAAGCTTGAGGACATTTATGGTTCCTCTACACAGTAGAGTTCATGGATTCCACAAGATCATTCGACAAATTATCGAGTCAAAAATCGGGAATTTCCTTGATCAAGCCCATCATCAAGTGAATAAGACAGTGGGTTTGTGTGTCCTCCCAATTTCTTTTATTTTACTTTTCACTCTCTGGGATGTTTTTGGTCTGTTCTAAAAACAGGGGTATGATAAAGTAACGTGAGAGCGAATGATTAAACATAATCGAAGAGCAATTTACTCCAATAAACTTCAATATCTAGTTACACAATATTTAAAAAAGCACATTTGCCATTTTATATTACAATAAACTTCAATTTCTAGTTGCACAATATTTAAAAAAGCACATTTGCCATTTTATATTACAATAAACTTCAATTTCTAGTTACACAATATTTAAAAAAGCACATTTGCCATTTTATATTATAAATCTTATAGCTTAATCAAATATAATATGGGTGAAATCACAAAATCCCCCCATCAAATTGGTGCAAAAAACTCTCACTAAAATGAAATTGTTGTCTTGTGACGTAAAAAAATGTTACTATTTTACCCCAATTTTCGTTTGAAATGACAAAATTATTCTTATAATTTAATGTTAAATTAAAAATTAATAATCATTATTATAAAATTATAAAAATACTTCTTCGATCAAACGATTGAAGTCTTTATCCTCCACTGCTTGATGCCGGTGGCGGCAGCCAAAACCCAACCCAAAATCAATCAACACATGGCCACCACACATGGATTCTTGTTTTTGCCTCTCTTGTCATGTTCTTCACTCTCACTCTTATCATCACAAGGAACATTATCTCCTCTGCCACAACCGCCGCCTCCCTACTACCCGAACCCGTCTTCGACATTCCTTGTAACGACCTACTCCACCACATGGTATAATATTATTCCCTTTGGATCTGAGCCTGCACGGTTTTGTCCTTAGGCTTTACCCCAAAATGCCTCATACCAATTGAAGTGACACACATACATATAAGTACTTCACTTTTCCTTTACCCAGGCGATGTAGGTCTGTGCACCCGTAACTCCCCATTTTGATAGCCTATCAGTGTCTTGCACCCGCCCACGGCACACCCGTCCACAAGGTCATCACAATCCACCCCCCTTGTAGGTTCGACGTCCTCGTCGGCACACTTCCAGCTAGGTTAGGCTCTGATACCATTTGTAACAACCCACTCCACCACATGGTATGATATTGTCCGCTTTAAGCCTAAGACCGCACGGTTTTGCTCTTAAGCTTTACCCCAAAAGGCCACATACCAATTAGAGTGACACACCTACATGTCCATCATAAGCTATAATTATTTCATACTTATAAAAATATATTAATGTCTAGCTTGATTTAATAATTTAAGCTAAGCTAGAAACAAAATTACTAGTAGTATTAACCCATTTCAAAATGAGTCTACCCAATCAAGCCCAAGTTAACTCAACCACCATACTAAAATAAAATCGAAGCTGAATAAGCTCAGGGCTGGCCCAAACCCAATGCAACAAAGGCGCCTAGGGCCTCAAAATTTATGGGCCCGTGGATGATGGACCACCAGAAGAAAAAATAAATAAATAAAAATAAATAAATAATAATTTTTAGGGCAAATCATTTCAGCCTCCCCAATCGCCTCCATCTCCATTCTCGGTCTCACTGAACTTGCCCCCCTCTCTCTCTGCAACTGCAAAGTACAAAATCTACAAGAATCAGAAGTTCAAAACCCATATATTTCATTTTATATATCTGTCTGCAAGAATCAAAAGTTCAAAACCTATTACTTATATCAAAACCCATATCAACATATCATTTCAGATTGTTCAAAAAATCGAAACCCATATCTTTCAGTTTCCATCGCCCGTTGTTCCAGATTGGGTTCGCCGTTCACAAGCAGCCGCTGGCCCGCTGTCTCTCAACTCTCAAGCTTGCCCCCTTCTCTCTCTGCAACTGCTAACTTGTATGTATAGGGTTTGCTTTAAATTTTTTTTTCTAAATCAACTAATCAAGGTCTTTAATTCTTGTTTTGCAAACTAAATCCTATTTGGTGAAATTTTTTATGATTTTTTTTATACAAATTTTTTTGTTTACAATATAAAGTAACAAAATTTGCATTGCATTTTGAGGTAATCAGTGCATTGCATTTTGAGGTAATCAGTGCATTGCATTTTGAGGTAATCACCGTAATCTATATTTTATTTCAGCAAAACAATTATTATTATTTTTTTATTTCTATAACTTCTATTTCTTTTTCTTCTTTTTTTTTTCTTTTTTTTTTTGTCAATTATGCCTACAAGAAAATTTGAATCTGGGCATGAAAAAAGAAAAAAAAAGGAAAAAAAAAAAAAAAAAAAAAAAAAAAGAATCTGAATTAGATTAGAAATCTGCAAAGATTGATTCTGAAACAATTTTTATCCACATGCTAAGCTTTTTGAAGATGGAAATCTTTTCAGAACTAAAAAAAAATCATAACAAGAACTTTGACAAGCAAAAGTAGTTAATATAGGGTAAAGCTCAAAAGTTACTTCTTGAAAATTAAAATACTTACAAAAAGCATGCTTTTGAGTGAATTCCATAGTGTTGGAAGGGGCTTGCCATCTCACACTCTGCTTCCACTAGTAGATTCTCAAATAGGATTAGTAAATTGGTCAAAAGAAGAGATAGGGTACTGAGTGGTGAATTGTTCAGAAATAAATTGGTAATTTTTTTTTATTAATTACCCAAATAGGATTTTCTATGCCTTAATCAGTCAATTGTCTAAAGAAACATTGTTAGTTAACTAAAATTGAATTAAACAACAGTTGATTTTGGTTGATATATTTTGATTTAGCTCACCCCATTGAGAAATCCTGGATCCCCCCTGGATCCGCCCTTGATGATACTAATAATGTGTTGTTTCACATAGAAATACAATCTGTGTAATGCACGAAGGATATATTCAATCTTTCTGCCATATTTTTATTTTCAAATTTTGGTTTTTGATTTTCTTTTCTTTTGTTAACTAATAATGATTTGTTAATTTGTTAATTTTGAAGATTGTTCCTAAACTAATGCATTTTACTTTGTTATTGGATTAATTTAACATAAGAGCTGAGTATAATATGTGCTAATCACACCTATCCATAATCACACCTCTTTCTAGGAATAGGTGTCCAACGTTTTGACTAAAAGCATAGTTGGGTTGGTACATGATACGCATAGTACTTAGATGGTGGTGTTTTAATTGTTATGAGCATAGTTGGGTTGGGTTGTGTTACAGGGCTAAATCACACCACAAATTTTTGCCTCTGTAATGGCACTTGGGGCCACCAAGTCTCAGCCAACACACCACATAATACACACAATATAGAAATGTGAAGAAGGCACACACAGTTTACAGGGATAAGCCCCAACCTTTACTCATATTAAACATATTACAAAGGAATATGAGTTCGTACAAGGAACCAAGGCTCACACCCTCCTATTTGTCCCCTCTACAAAGCCCACCTTAGCATTATATAGGCCATTCTCAAAACCGCCCATAACTGCCCACTAAGATGATGGATGACACCCCCATCCACCTAGGGTCGTACTGATACCCTCTAAATGTGCCAGCACTATAATGCAGTTGACAAGCCCAACTGCTAGACTTGTTGGCATGTTCTGCTCATGCCACATAACCACAAGAAGTTACATTCTGCATAGTGGAAGAAATCACCCTTAACCGCCTGTGTGTTGGTCCTCTCAGAATTGTGTCACATACTTGGGAGGTTACTCAGCACTCCCCCACTTCCCATGATGAGTGGGAAGTGCTAGTAACTTCCCCCAACCGACCAAGCCTACTTAACCACCACATCTTGTAACCGCAAGCCATGACTTTGTGTGGTCCATGCTCTAGCCACATCTGAGTCAACCTTGTGAACCTAGCCCAAGCCAAGTCCACCAATCTGCACCCACATATATATATGTCTCTGAGTGCACGGCATGCCAAACCATGCACGCCCGTGTGCACGCTCGGGTACACGCCAAAGTGCACGCCGGCGCACACACTGGTGCCCTTCTACGCGCGCCATGTTTGAACCCTCATGCGCCCATGGCTGTACGCCCGCCTGGACGCAATAATATTAAGTTACCATAATATTATAAAGTAACTTAAAACATAACACGTATCAAATCTATGTATATTTTTATTATTTAAATAAACATATACATCAAATTAAATATTACTACCCAAATTACCATAAAAGTAATTAATAAATTACTTTCTCTTTTATATATATATTAAAAAGGTAAGTAAAATATGTTACGTATATAATTTATGTATATGTTTATTAAATAAATAAATTATACACATTCCATTATTTATTAATGGATTATTCAATAATACTTAAGTTACCATAATATTATAAAGTAACTTAAAACATAACACGTATCAAATCTATGTATATTTTTATTATTTAAATATAAAACATATACATCAGATTAAATATTACTACCCAAGTTACCATAAAAATAATTAATAAATTACTTTCCTTTTTATATATGTATATAATATATATCTATATATATACATACATTATCCATGGGTAATAATCCATACACATCCAACCTCTTATCCAAATAGTCCATGGGACCCAATTGGTTGGCCCATTACTACTAACCATAACCATAAAAGAAAAATAAAATAAAATAATAAAAGAAAAGAAAATATTTAATTTACAATTAAAACAAATAAATAAATACCGAGACTATCCTTTTAAAATTAGGGGTATTACATTCTTCCCCCTTAATAAAAGGAATTCCGTCCTCGGAATTCGCCCTTACTTTCTTCCATTA